GTGTTTACCTATGGCGTCTAAAGAGAGATTAAGATTCGTTATAACCTAATAAGCCTTATGTTTGATCTCCATAAGAAGATGAAAAACCTTTTGACGTGACTTAGTCGTTGTATTATAAATCACATAAATTTAAAAATTATAAAACTAGAAAATACTAATTTTTAGATATTTAGAAGTATTTCTGAACAAATATATCAATTATAATTCAATCAAATTTACAAAAATAGTGGTAATTTTTTAAGTCGATCATAGAGATGTAATATAATATTGGGTAACTTTTTAGTATTTTTCTCAAAGAATATAACTTTTTTATGAATTTTATACTGAGAAATAAAAATAAAATATACTTCAATTTGTGAAAAAAGGAAATAAGGGTGTAGATGTTAGGATGATGTTAGCACCCGACGAACACGAATCAAATAGAAACAAAGTTTTGCCTAGTGATTCTTGTGTAAGGGATTACAAATGATCTAATTCATCAAATTAAGATCTGTAAAAGGTGAAAGAATCGTAATTGAATCAAATATAGTTTGGTAAATTTAAATCACACAAAGTATCACTAAATGAAGTAGAAATTAAGTTGAAAGTAGAAAAATAAAATTCCAATGTCACGGCAACAATGTGTCGATGATGCACAAGAATTCTGAACATTTGGGAAGATTGTCGTGTAGTGTCCACGGCCTCAAAGGCTCTCCTTAGACAAGGACGATGTGGGCAATCTCTAGATATCCATGCGAAGTCTATAGATCAATGAAATGGGTCATCAAATTGTCTCCGGCAGCTATCACTTAGCGGAGTGAAAAAATGACGACTTTGTGACTCTCTAGCAGCTGTCACCCGATGGAGATGAGCTAGATGGAGGTGGGACGCATGTTAAAGAGCTTCATCCTCAGGTATGTGCAGCAAGAGGAGGCTCTTCATCGCATCTAGTATGCTCTCAAGAGGTGGTGACTCATCTCACTACAGATTGTCCTCTTCTCGATGACGGCTTGTTCATCGATCAATCAAAGAGGATTTACTCAATAAATTTGTGATCCTTTTATCGCGAATTATTTTCAGCAATTTTAGTAATAATGCTTTGTGAATTACGTTGACAAGATTTTTACCAATGAACTAACAATTTTAATGGCTTAATCCTATACTAGTGATCTATAGAAAAGTCGAGATAATCTTTCATTAGGCTCTAGGAAGATTCGAACCTGTGCTGATTGCCCGCCTGCATAAGAGAGATTGAAATAAGTACTCTAATGCCATTATCAAGTGACGTCCTCATAGTATATCTTTATTATAACTAAGGAGTAATTTAAGTATTAAAATCTTCAAAGCCTTTCAAGGGAAGGTGTGATGTGGGTGACGTGACTCAGTCGTTGTATATTAAATCACGCAAATATAAAATTTATAAAACTAGAAAATACGAATTTTTAGATATTTAGAAGTATTTCAAAATAAATAGATCAATTATAATTCAATAAAAATTCTAAAATAGCAGTAATTTTCCAAGTTGATCATAGGGATGTAATATAATCTTTGGTAATTATTCAGAATTTTTCTCAATGAATATGATTTTCTTACGAATTTTATACTAGGAAATAAAAAGGAAATATATTTAAAATTCACAAAAAAAAAAGGAAATATGGGTGCGGGCGTCAAGATGACGTCAGCGCCTGGTAAATGCGAATCAAGCAGAAATAGAGTTCCGCCCGGTGATTCTTACGTAAGCGATTACAGACGACTTAATTAATCAAATTAAGATCTGTAAAAGCCAGAAGAATCGTAATTGAACGAAGTATAGTTTGGTAAATTAAAATCACACAAAGTATCACTAAATAAAGCGTAAATTAAATTGAAAGCAGGAAAATAGAGTTTTGGCGTCGCGACGGCGATGCGTCGGCGATGCACTGGAATCCTAAGCGTTCGGGAGGATCGTCGTGCAATGTCCACGGCCTCAAAGGCTCTCCTTGGACAAAGACAATGTGGGCAATCTCTAGATCTTCTCGCGAAGTCTAGAGATCAATGAAGTGGGTCGTCGAATCATCTCCAGCGGCTGTCACCCGGCGGAGCGGAAAAACGGCGACTTTGCGGCTCTCTAGCGGCTGTCACCCGACAGAGAGGAGCTGGATGGAGGTGGGGCGTGTGTTAGGGAGCTTCATCTTGAGGTCCGCGCAGCAAGAGGAGGCTCTTCATCGCATCTGGTACGCTCTCAAAAGGTGGCGACTGATCTCCCAGCGGATCGTCCTCTTCCCGACGACGGCTTGTTCGTCGATCAATTGGAGATGATTTACTCGATGGATTCGTGATCCTTTTATCGCGAATCGTTCAGCAATTTTAGTAGCAATGCTCCGCGAATCGTGTTGACGAGATTTTCACCGATAATCTAGCAATTCTCATTGCTTAATCCTTCACCGGCGATCTGCAGGAAAGTCGCGATAATCAGATAAAAATATATGAATTTTGACTCTGGAAGGATTCGAACCTGCGCCGGTCGCCCGCCTCTTCTAAGGAAGGTGTGACGGGGGTTTAGTCCCACATCGGTTGTACGCCGATTTTTTGGGCGAATATATAGTAATGTTAGCTTTGTAAGAAAAGTCCCTTCTCTCGTGTGTATGACCACTCCTTGCCCCATAGCCGGCTGGCCACCGGTGACGTGGAAGGGGAGTGGCGTACGCGTGCCCTGTCGGTCCCCCAGCCAAGCTGCTCGAGCCCCTGCTCGCGGCTTGCTCCCTGACTGCACTTCTGACCCGCTTGCGGGCATGGCTGGCTGGCGGGTCCTCCAATTTTTGCAATATTTTTATTTTTATTTCGTGTTCTTCATTTATCTCAAAAGTAAGACTGTAAAAATCGTATAAAATCACATAATTACCCAAAAATTCACGTTAATCAATTGAAAACCAAAAATCATTCTTTACCACAAATATAAGTCTATTTATCATGAGTATTTACTAATTATTAACTCATGATAATGAAAACTTATTAGTGGGTTTAGTCCCACATCGCTTGTGCGCCAAAGTTTTAGGCGAGTATATAGTAATATCATATTTACAAGTAATGAGTACTTTTCTCTCACATGTACAACCACTCCTTGCCTCAGACTTGGTTGGCCATCGGTGACGTGGAAGGGGAGTGGTGCACAGATGCCTCCATTGGTCCTAGTCACCCAAGCCCTTACTTGCGGCTACCCCCGACTACGCTTCTGACCTACTTGCAGGCCTGGTTGGTTGACAGGTCCCTTCTTTTTACTATATTTTTATTTTAATTTCTTTTTCTTGATTTATCTCAAAAAATAAGACTATAAAAATCATATAAATGCATAGAAAATTACATAATTAGCTAACAAAATCACATTAATCAATTGAAAACTATTTCTCATAATTTACTAATTATTAACTCATGATAATGAAAACTTATCAGTGGTTTCCTATTATGACAAAAAAAGACATTATATTAACAAATAATAAAGGTAAAAATAATATACTTGAAAATATTATACATGTGCTCTTAAAAAGGCAAAAAATTCATTTTATATGTGTAAAATTATATACAAATTTATATACAATATAGATTTGGCTCAAAAACATTTAATAGGGGTCGCATATAGAATTATGTAACTCTTAATTACAATTGTACATTAGACTACAGTCAAAATAGATAATAATTTGTTTCAATAAATAGTTTCCATGATTAATTCATCATCCTCATAAATCGACACACTTGTTAATACAATAACTTCCTACTTATGCTTAAAGTCCTAGTTTAGACAAGAAATTTATTTTCCACTCATCAATGGAATGAATCAAGATTTGACGATGGGTACATTTTTCTTCAAGTTTAGGAAAACATCTAGAGGGTGCAATGTATAAAAAGTATATACGATGACATTCATTCATGTGAATCATATAAGATTTAACTTTGTCAAGATATGCTTTTCAAATTGAAAACATTACAAAGCATAACTATGCGACTTTTATTTCAAACTCCTCTTTATATACCCAATCTTCTATGAATCTAGATGCTTCTTAATTTTTAGATCATCACTAAAGAAATCATACTTTTACTATGATGGGAACCAATTACGACATTACATTACTTTCAGTTTTGGACTACATGTGGTTCTAAACACATTATGGGGTGGATGTGTGTCCTTTGGTGGACACATAAGCTTCCAATACATAATTCTTATTTCTTCATAACTTTACATATTCTAATAAATAATTTTAATCATAGTGATTAGTAATTATAAATATAACCTAAACTATCAAATTCGTGCCATTTAATCCAATACTTGTAGTGTTCATTTATTTACTGATAAAATTTTCATTTTGGTAAACTATAGTAATTATTCATTGCAACTAATCATTATGATTGTATGAAATAATATTAGATTTCTTCCCTTTAATACTGTATTTTTATGTGCCAGCTTTCTTATAAAAAAGTAATATTCATTATTTATGCATAAAATTTACATTTATCGGTCTAATAATTATTTCTGATAATTTGTAAGTGTGAATGTACTTAAACATATTATATTCCTGTACTCAATAGGTTACGTCCAAAGTGGTGCCATTTCTAAGGTGAATAGATAGTAGGTACAAAACATTTCTAAAGTTTAAATGTTGGCAATAAATGATACATATTCCTAGCAAGAGTAACTATGATATAAATATCTACTTATACTCACGCCCTCTAAATGATTGTCTTGTATTATTATCATTGATTGATATAGTTTCTGTTTTTGCATAAATATTAATTACACACTTTTATCAATAGCTATGATTACATTAAAAAAGTATTATATTCATGCCCTTAATATGAGGCTTTTAAACTATCGTTTTCTTTATGAATAAATAATAACAATAATAATAAATAATTTAGTCATGAGATTTATGTTTTCTCAATTGGCACTTTACAGATTTTATTTATATTCTTACATGTACATGGTCATGGTCTGTCATCAATCAAACATTTTATCCGTTTCTTTCTATGACACTCATCTTCTTCATTATTTACCTGCAATCTTCCACGTTTTTGGTGAACCTGTTGGAAACATGGTCAGCCTATTTAACAACAGATGATAGAGCCATGAAAAAGAGATAAAACCATCTGACATAAAATAAAAATATGTGAGGTAATTTCAGTGATGTCATGTTTGCAACCACCTTCAAAATTGCATCAATCCGAATGGTCTTTAACAGGGTGCAGGGGGGGCATATCAAGCTTCCAAAAAGAGAAATGAGCTTCGAGTAGGTGGGCTGCTCAACAAATTGTATCTTCTTCACTGCTTCAAGGAATTGTGCAAAAGGAGGGGGACAGCCACCACACAGCGTCTCGGGGGAGGTTACAGTCTTGTTCATGAAGACTAGAAACCTCTTGTCATTCCCCTACATAGTTGGCATAAGAATCAGCAAGTGATCAATCAAAGAGATGGGAGAACATGTACAAGTAGAGGTGAAAGCAAACCTGATAGCCTTCCCACGGCAGCCTTCCTTTAATCAAAAAAATCAGAGTGTAGGCCAATGACTCAAGATCATCTCTTCTACTCGCTGTGAGGCCTAAATGTGCATGGACGCTTGCATATCGTGTTGTGCCCCTAGGGAACATGAGATAGATAGTAAGGTAGGGGTAAGATTTTATGAATCCTCCTCTTAGCTAAGAATTTAGGGAAAAAATAGAATATCGTTTCCCAAAAAACCTGAAATTATCTGGCTGTTGGCATAAGCTGACATGCTGGCCTGACAAACTGTCCCTCCACATTGAAGCTGATTAAAATATTAATGACACCAATTAGCATTTGTACAGGCTCTGAACAAAGCACAAAAATATCACTGATGTTGATACAGACAGGGACTTCTCAGTCAAGACGAATTTGTTTATATACTTGGAAAAACAAACCCTACTCTAAAATCAATAGGTGCGAAAGGTGAAAACAAGAAGTGATTGGAATGCAGCAACATACCCAGCCCAAAGTCGATGAGAAAAAGCTTCTTCTCCCCTGAGCTTCCGGGTTTACCCAACAATAAATTCTCTGGCTTGACGTCTCCATGCACAAACCTGGCATGTTTTTTTTTTTGTGTGGGTGGAGGGAGGGAGGGGAGTGCACAAGGGAGCAATGAATTGATTACTGTGACCTTTGCAAAAATTTAATTGAAAAAATATCACACTGCCACAAAGCCATACGTACCCTTTTTGGTGTAGCTTCTCAAGGATGGATATTGCCTCCACAGCAATACAAGCCACCATATTTGGTGGCATTCTGTCCAAGGAGTTAGTCAAACTCAATAGCACAATTCTCAACAGAATATTGACTTTGAATATGAAGTCAAGATTATTTTCTTACACTTGCCCAATGGATATGAACACATCCAGGAGACTTGGTCCAAGGATGTCCATGATCTGCAGCAATCATCATCAACAATATCATAATTAGCTTTCAATAAAAAACATCATTCGAGGAAACAATAAAATGAAAGACTCTACGCCAACCATGATGAAATAATCTCCTTGGCGGCCCTTGTAGTGCACCCTAGGCAATCCATAGCATCCCTTGAGATGGCTAAAACCATATTCACAAAGTCGGATGAAGAACGTAGTTTTAGATCGACACAATACGTAATAAATTAGAGCAGTAGGGGGTGTCTTCTTACTCATAAACTTGCCATTCATATGGGGGGCCAAATCTGCAACCCGTGCTATTTCTATGCTCAAACTTCAGTGCTACCTACACCCACCGCAGGAAAATGAAAGAGACAACATAAAACAGCAGTATTTAAAGATTCCCTTGGCAGGAGTGATGGGAGGTTGAAACTAAACCTTAAAGGCATTGGGCCCATTGCCCTGAGATCCACCAGCCACCCTTCGTCCAATGTAGACCAGCCCAAAACCTCCTGCACCCAACATTCTCTCTACCTTGTATAATGGAGAATTTCCGACCTGCACCTGTCGATTTTGGATAGGACATTCCTATTGTCAAGATGTGATGTGCTTTGGGATGGAGAGAGAAAGCTCTCTACAGTCGCCGTCAAGGAAAGGAATGAGGGACGTCGAAGCATGTACCCGATCCGGGATGGGAGACATCCTCGCTTCCTCCTGTAGCCCGACAACCTCGTCCACACTTCCTCCCTCGATTCCAGCTGCTTTCTCAACAGGACAGCCCGCCACCAAGTTCTGATGGTTTTTCTGGGTGGGGAATAACGCTCGGGAGAGCTGCAGGTACGGAGGGTGTTGTTTCCTGCCGGAAATCACCGGGTTCTTCTCCAGAAACTGGTCGATCGCTCAGCGATCCGAAAATCGAATGTGCCCCTTGATTCAACACGCTCACCCGTCACCGTCAATCGATAAACCTTGCTGAAATAATCTTTTCTCCTCCAGACGGTAACACTCATCCGTCCCCAAAGAGCAATCGGATGGAAGTCTAAAGAAGAAGATAGATCCCCCTACCCAGACCAAACATCAAATCGAATCAGCAACGAAGCGGCAAAACAAATCGGAAGAAGGTAAATAAATAAGAGGAAGGAGGAAAGCCAGAGCGTTCTTCAGCAATCTCGCACCACCCGCACCACCGCAGGCAACCGAAAGTCCAAATCAAAGAAAATAAAGATCCCATCCAAAGAGTCCACAAGAAGATGCCCCCGACACAGAAAATCACGAACCCATCGAAAGACGGCACTAGAACATAACCCCCGAATCAACGAAAGGCGAGAATTCGTCGAAAGACGGCACTAGAACATACCCGGAGCGGCCTTTCAGGGAAGCAGAAGCCTGGGAACGTACGACCTCTCCGTGAGGCGGCGCCGACCGTGACCTCGGCGTCTTCGGCGGTGGACTCCTCCGCCGGATGCGGCCTCCCACTCTTCCTCCGGATTCGCGCACGAGAAAGGGTTCCAGAAGAACTCGACGGAGAGGAGAGGAGAAGGCGGCAGGCTGTCCGAACTCCGCCGTGCTTCGTAGAGCGAGGACGCATCCACAGAAAGAAAGCGAGAGCAAGATAGAGTGAGAGAGAGCAGACAGACAAAGGGAGCGAGAAAAGGCGCGAAAGAAAGAGAGATCAATGACAGCCTTACTCTATCACCCGCTCTTCTTTCACGTTCTGCCATTAGGTACGGATCTCCAATTACATTTCTCTTTGAGGTCTGACGTAAATTGTGCCAATTTCTGTTCACGATGTCCGTTGAAATGTCGTCGAACCCGTGTGGGCCACGTGTCCCACATCTGCTTAAGTGTCATGCCAACTCGTCGGTTCTGCTTCCACTGTCGACCTGTTGATGGTTTAACTTTTAGCCTCTGAATATTCCGGCCCATTGGGTCACTTGGCTCGGCCCAGCCCAACTCATTCTGATTTTCTTTTATTTTAGACCTTTATATCAAAACCTCTTAGAAATTATGAGAAATTCTAGAAAATTTCAAAAAATCCAGGATAAAATTTAGAAAATCCTAAAACTCATAAAAATATTTCATGCATAATTATTTAAATTAATTATCTTAAAATAATTTTAAAAATATTAAAATACATGTTTATGTATGAATGATCTGAATGCATACGAATTAAATGTAACATGTATTATTTCTGTTAATTTTATGCACTAAATATTGATAAATATAAGGTAAATACAGATAATGAAGACTTATCAACCACAACATAATAACTAGACTAAGATGATCTAGTTCAATCGTTTTCATCCACAATATACTATCATTAGCCATTTATTGTCGCACCACATACCCATGAATACAACCTAAAACTCCTTCATACTTCAAAGAATAATGATCATGGTAAAGAATTCACCTATCTTTTTTTCATGAGATCCACACCCCTAATCTAGAGAAGGTAAACGTTTCTAATTGACTTACCCTTTTAAAGGAGCATTAGGCTTTGTTCGTTTAATCATACGTGTTTGTGCAAATAATCAATGCAGCAAAAGTTTTAAAATATTCAGAACATTTTTGAATTTTTTTGTTCTCCCCCCTACTTGAATGATGCATTATCTCTAATGCATGCAAAAGTCTTTAATGCATGTGAGAGAAGGGAAAAGGGAAGAAAATTCTGGTTTTTATGCCCCATCTACTACACTATTGCCCTTGAATGGTTCTCTAACTAAAGCACTCGACCAATAAAATATGTCCTAAACAAAAGCTAGTAAGGAAATGATAGTTCTCCTCATGATAAAATATGTGCATACACACAAATAGATCAAGTCCTCAAATATTTGCTAGAGACCAACCAATCACCTCTCTCTATGTCCTAAGTACATCAAGTAATCTATTCTCTTGATCCTTAGACAAATACGATGATATAATCATTGGATAAGTTTGATGTTAATCAAAAAATATATACTTTAATGAAGATATTGATAAGTTTTCATTATCATGAGTTAATAATTAATTAATAATATAGTTTTAATCTAAACTCTTGATAAATAGACTTATATTTATGTCAAATTATAAAAAATAGTTTTTAATTGATTAATTTGGCTAATTATGAAAGCTTATGTGAATTTATATAATTTTAATAATCTTATTTTTGAGATAAATAAAGAGAAATAAAATTAAAAGATAGAAGAAAGAGAAAACTTGCCACCTAGTCAAGCCCACAAACAGGTTGGAAGTATAGATAGGCGGAACCGTGAGTAAGGGCTTGAGCGGCTAAAGACTAACTGATAGGGGGACACATGTGCGTCACTTCCCTTCCACATCATCAATGGCCAGTCGGGCATGTGACAAAGAGTGGCCGTACACATGTGAGAAAGGGATACATTGATTATTGACGTGACTTAGTTGTTGTATTGTAAATCACATAAATTTTAAATTTATAAAACTAGAAAATATGAATTTTTGGATATTTAGAAATATTTCTGAATAAATATATCAATTATAATTCAATAAAACTTTCAAAAATAGCAGTAATTTTCTAGGTCGATTAGAGGGATGTAATATAATATCTAGTAATTTTTTAGAATTGTCCTCAATGAATATTATTTTCTAAGAATTTGATACTAGTAAATGAAAAATAAATATATTTAAAATTTACAAAAAAAAGAAATAAGGGTTCGGATATTAGGATGATGTCAGCACCTCGCGAATGCAAATCTGGCAGAAATAGAGTTCTGCCCAATGATTCTTACGTAAATGATTATAGACGATTCAATTGATTAAATTAAGATTTGGAAAATCTAAAAGAATTATAATGAAATGAAGTATATCTTGGTAAATTTAAAATCAACAAGTTATCACTAAATGAAACAAAAATTAAGTTGAAAGTAGGAAAATAGAGTTCCAACATCGCAACGGTGATGCGTCGGTAATGTACCAGAATCTTGAGCGCCTACAACCTTGAAGGCTCTCCTTGGACAAAGACAACATAGGCAATCTCTAGATCTCTTTGCGAAGTCTAGAGATCAATGAAATGGGTCATCAAATCATCTCCGGTGGCTGTCACCTAATGGAGAGGAGCTGGATGGAGGTGGGGCGCGTGTCAAGAAGCTTCATCCTCAGGTCTGCATCACAAGAGGAGGCTCTACATCGCATCTGGTATGCTCTCAAAAAGTGGGGACTCATCTCCTAGCGGATCGTCTTCTTCTCGACGACAGCTTGTTTGTCGATCAATCGGAGATTAGTTACTCGATGGATTTGCAATTCTTTTATCACAAATCATTCAATAATTTTAGTAACAATACTCTGTGAATTGCATTTGACGAGATTTTTGTCGATGATCTAGCGATTCTAGTTGCTTAATCCTTCACCGATGGTTTACAGGAAAGTCACAATAATCAGATAAACAAAATATGAATTTTCACTTTCGAACCTATGCCAATTGCCCCCATGCCCTTTCTGGGAGGTGTGACGCAGGTTAAAGAAGTCTCACATCGGTTGTGCGCCAAAATTTCTGATGAATATATAGTAATACTACATTTTTGATGAAGTATTTTTCTTGCATGTGTACGACCACTCCTTGCCCCACAACCGGCTGGCCACTAGTGACGTGGAAGGGGGGTGGTGCACACGTGCCCAATCGGTCCAAGCCACTTGAGCCTCTGCTCGCGGCTACTCCCCAACTGCACTTCTGACCCGCTTGCAGGCTTGGCTGGCCGGTGGGTTCCCCATTTGTCTTATTTTTATTTTAATTTCTTTTTCTTCATTTATCTCAAAAGTAAGACTATAAAAATTATATAAAATCATATAAAATCACATAATTACCTAAAAATTCACATTAATTAATTGAAAACTACTTTTCACACTTTAACACAAATATAAGTTATTTATCATGAGTTAAGGTGAAAACTATATTATTTACTAATTATTAACTCATAATAATGAAGACTTATCACACCTCCAACTTAAATCATTGCTAGTCTCTTTGCAATAGAATTACGAATTCGTTTTTTACAAATCTCAAACATCATATTTCAATACATAAAAATAAAAAAAAATACAATCAGAAATGATGCACCTTTAGACACTTTGGATTCTTATATCAAGTATTTAAGAATGATGTCAAGCACTTAAATATTTAAGCACTCCTTAGAATAACAATCTAGACTTCACTTCTTCTATTCACATCTCTATCATTTCTTCACTCATAGATATATTTACAAGATGTTTTAATTTTCAATACTCATCTAAGAATATATATTGATCTTACATTTAATTTTTTCCATGGCTTAATTTTTGAAGTTTACACTATATTTCTTCTTTTTCTTTTTTTTTTATATATATAGTGGATAAGTAGCTTTTCTCGTAGACAAATTTCGACACTAAGAATGATGTCTCACATCCTCCATGTGTACTATTCATTTTCAAGGCTTTCACTTTATCCACTTATTTTGTAGTAAGTATTTTTCTATGCACGATTTTTGACAATGAGAATGATGTATCACACCCTCCATGTGTACTCTTCATTTTTAGATTTTTCACATTGTTCTCTCTTTCTTCTTTTTTTCGAGATAAGTGATTTCTCCTCACAAGTCCTATAAATCGGGGTGTAAAAATCTCCATCAAACTCAAATGATCAATCAAATTTTCACATTAAGTAACTATTATCCATCAAGATCATGAAGTGAAAATCTGTAAAATCAAATCCTTGTTATCTATCATGTATTCAAGGAGTATTCTAACATTTCATGCTACTAGATTATTCTTTTGACTCAATAATAATCTTCCTAGTATCTTTTGGTATCAATCAATCTAATTGATTTAATTTTTCATACATACAATATGATGTAAGAAATTTGTAAATTAGATAGTTTTGACAGTTCTGTTTTCTATTTTTAGTTCTATTGTTAGCAACAATAAATTTGTCAAAAAGAAATCAAAACTATCATCTTTATCGTTGTAATTTTGAATTTCAGTAATATACGTCTAGGGGATTGAAATGTGAGAAAAAGGTCTCCACAATGTCAAATTTTGGGCTATTTTTTGTCTGCTATTTTTGAGTTTGTTGTTCTTGACAGAAAACTAGAAAATAGATATTGTAGTTTATCAAATTTTATTTTATTTTTATTTTTTCAGTTGCTATTCTAATACAAACACGTTTTTAATTGTCCTATAGCATAAATTAATAATGAATACTTCACCCCCCAACTTAAAAATTACATTGTCAATGACACAGAAAAATCGAAACAGAATATGCAGAAAATATAATTTTCAAGTGAAGCATGCATATGTGCAAAGTTAAGCATTAAAATTTTTCATAAATGATAAGGCTCAGAAAGACATCACCTAAACCTCGTTTTTGATTTTCTACTTCATCTTACACTCCTCCTCTTGCACTTTTTCGAAAAAACAAATACAGAAACAAGTACTACAAAATTCTAAGAAAATAGAGCTTCGAAAAAAAGTCAAACATAATGAAATAAAAACGATGGGTTGCCTCCCATGCAGTGCTGAATTTAGTGTCTTCAACTAGACAACTCTTAGATCATATAAGATGATCTATGACCATCAAAATATATTTGTATCCCAAGGTAAGTTTCATGATATTCTTTTTCAGATTTAGCATAAATTCATATGCTTCATATATATACCTTGACATACTTTCAGCCAAAACAAAATAGAAATTAACAAAATTTTCCCAAAAATAATATTTCCATTTTGAAAAGAA